CTGATCCATAGCAGAGCCACACCTTCACACAAACACAACAACATTCACATCACACGACACATTTTTGATAACCTCAGACCGTGTTGTTCAGCCCCTGATTAACCAATGAAAAACATTTTACAACAAAATGCATCATGACTGAAGAATGCATTCTCCTTCCCCTTTTTCAGATTTTACAAAGTTGTAGATTCAAGGTGAAATTTTGAAAATGAGCATTTTCTCCATTAATCTACTCTCAATAAGTCGGAATAACAAGGTAATAACATGCTTTTTGACGTTTTGACAGCATTAGTGAAAGACAAAAATAGAAATCTGTCATTTATCAGCCGTATTCAGATCAGCTGTATCCTGTTTGCTTCAGCAATCCTTGGGTGTTCAGTACCTGACTGGAGTTCACCTGGAGCAAACGAACCTGACTGGACAGAGTTTAGAAAGACACACTTGTGTTATTACTGCCTGTTGTTACAAACTGAGCCATGAATTCCAATAACTCTCTGCAGATGTCTGTGTTCAAACTATGGTGAGGTGTAGATCAGGGTGAGGGTATGAAACATTTCTAAAGCTCTGAGTGTTCCCAGGAGCACAATGGCTGCAATAGCTGTGAATTGGAAGAAGCTGAAAACCAGCAGGACTCTTCGTAGACTTGGCTGTCTGATCAAACTGAGTAACTGAGCAGGAAGGTCTTCTGTCTGCTCACTGTGCACCAAAACAACAATAAATAGTAGTTACTGGAGGTAAGAAGGGCCCTGAAACAGGTTCTATAGATGCAGATCTTGAAGTTGGAACACTAGTGAGAGTGGGTCATCAAAAAGGAGGGAAAACTGTCAAAGGGAGGAAGTGGAAACACGAGAAACACAAGATAAGTAACGTGAAAATCAAACAGGAAGTAACAGAAAAGGGGCATTCGATGTACACATTGGCAGAGAAACACAAAAACAGGAAAACACACAGGAGGAGATCTAAGAAAAAACTCAAACCGAAACCAATAAACCGTGACACAAACAGCACTAATCCAGGTGTGCAGAACTTGTCGAGACTGAAAGCTGTAACTTCTGCCCACAGACCTTCTACGATTTATCCTCTGTATACATTTGTAATCAACAGATTTCTGTTTGTGAGTTTTCATAAATTTGCAAAGCATTGCTAAATCCATGTTTTCACTTCGTCGTTGTGTCAGTGATGAAAGCATTCTGATCCTGTACTAATAATACAGCAATGTAAAAATACTAACATACACGAGTGGTTATAATCCTGAAGTTTCATTTGTCTGCTTGTTTATTTTCTGATATGAACTATACAAAACAAAACAAACAAAAAAAAGATTATAGTATTAACAGAACTACATCCAAAATTGAGTTCTGTTGAAAAGGAAAAACAAATTTTTTTTTTTTTTTTAGGAGGGTTTGTTTGTGAAATAATTGTTCTCTATGTTTACATTTATCTTTAAAAACTTAAATTATTGAAGGGAGAGAAAAAAAGAACTCAGATATGTTCTATTAGTTAGATGTCTGAGGGGTGCTAATCAGACAGTAAGCTGCCTTATATCCTGCTGAGATATGAACTATGCAAAATGAGCTTCAGTCCAACCAAATTTGTCTCAGTGTTGCAAACTGGCAGCATCTGAACAGTAAACAGTTAAGTGCATGGCCACGTCGATTAAAGCTGCCCAACCAGTTCTGACATCCCTTCTGTTTTTCAGTCATGTCCCAGTTGAGACATGACAATCATTAACTAAGAGAGAAACAAATTCTTCACAATATTTAGTCCGAGAAGTTTAAAATGTCATATTAAAGCAGCCAGTCAGCACAAAGAAGCATTTGTACTGTGAGTCAGTGATCCACCACAGCATGATCAGAGTGATCCTGTAGATCAGACATGTGCAGATTTCTCTGGTAGGATTCTCACCTGCTCAGCTCACTTCAGGTCAGCTTACAGACACTTTCCACCTTCATGTGTCGAGGAAACATTCGGAGAGAAGAAGCTGCTCATTGTCCGTCGTCAGTCCTGCCGTCTGCGTGATGTGATTTAAGGAAATGGTTGCACCTTCATAACTAAGTCGACAGAGAAATGGAAGAACCAGTTTAAGATGTGGCAGATATCCAGCAGTCAGATGTGTCATTATTCTTGTTTGCCTCAATGACACTGCCTGGCGTGATCCATTTGCTACTGTGCCTATTAAAGATCAAAATGGAATGCTTTTAATGAGTCACAGATCAGGTGGTGTAGTTCTACCACCTGTCCACTAGTTGTGCTGAGGGACAGTTTAAAGAACTACATATCTGAGGCCTAAAGTTACCAAAACCTGCTCAGTCAGTCGGATCCTGCAGGTGATTCAACTCACTAACAAGTCCGATATAATCAGTAAGAGCAGGTATTTTGCACAATTCTGCTAAACTAAAATCAGGCTACAGCGCTGAAGAAATCTGAATATCTTCACTGTCAATGAGAATTAGTCTTAAAACCAAACATATTTAGTATGAGGATGTGGTTTAAATCTATGACACAGTCCAGTGGGCAGAAAATCTTTTTATCTGAAAACTTTCTGAAGCGACTGTGAGACATTTAGTCAGTTCTGTTATAAGTGATGTGAAGTGACGACTCTCTTCGGTTCATCTCTCTCTGACTGTGTGTGTCCGTCGTATCTGGTGCAGACAGAAGATGAGAACTTGCAGTTGTGTTGATGACCTTCAGCTCAGATGGTGTTGCTTCACTCAGACCTGCTCAGTTCTCTGGTTGGTCAGAAATGATGGACAGCAGCTGATGATGGTTTGACTGACAGTCTGAGTGCAGACAGAAGGACGTGTCTCAGCCTCTTCAAGCTGCTGGAAAATAAAATGCAGCTTAAAACTGCATCGTCTGAGCTTTGTGGTGTAATTGATGTACTGTTAATGTTTAATCCAAAGGGTTAAAGGTTCTTTACTGTGCAGCTCAGAGCAGCTCTGTTATCACATTTCCTCAAAGTAACTCATGATTTTGGACAGTGGAGACTCAGCTTTGAAAACTTCCCACTGTGAGATACATGCTTGTCGTCTCTTGTTGGTCTCATGGATGAATAATTTCACCTTCATTCATCTGATTGTTTCCACCATCCAAAGGTAACGTAACCAGCAGTTTGACATCATTTCAGTGTGAGTGGACATCACTGTTACACTGATCATTACAGCTGAGGTCAACTGTGTTGTGTTTGCTGCAACGTTCAGCAGCCTCCATGATGAAGGAAACATCTTAGATCCTCCATAGGAAACAAAACAAGTCGAATCCTGTTGAAAGTCAAATTCAGCCTTTTTGTCAGATGCACTGAGAGACCAGAAAAACAGAAACAACTGTTCATGTTTGCATGAATACTTGACTTTTAAACAAATTCTGTTTCTTCCTCAGGTTTTACTTTGTGATTCTGTGTTTGTGGACTAGTATTTTGAAAGATGTTTTTAATATTTTCATTTACCAGCCTGATCTCATGACAGTTTGTAGTATAGTCACAATATTTTAATCTACTGATTCGTGGACATGAATCCTCTACAGATGCTTGTGAGTGTCATGCAGGAAAGTCCTGCACTGAGGGAGACACATTACACTGAACCTTTAAGGATCAAAACAACATTTCCACCAGAAAACCACAGACTCTTGACTGATCCCAGCAACCACTACAGTACAATGTGCAGGTCC